ATGTCCACTTTTAATATCTTAGATATTGTAAAGACCGCCCAAGATGCGGGAATTTCTCCAGCAGATATAAATAATTTAGTTGCACGTGAGGAGGAGAGATATAAAGGAGAAGTAGAGAGGGAAGAGAAGCAAAGAGAAAGAGAGGAAAGGCAGAGAGAAAGGGAATTTAAGAAATTAGAATTTGAGGCAGAAGAAGCGAGGAAAAGACGCCAGCATGAGTTAGAATTAGCTAAATTGGGCATTGGAAGCCAAGGTTCCGTAGTTAATACAGGTCAGTCTGCTTATCCAGATTTGAAATTGCCTAACTTTTGTGAGAGCAAAGATGATATTCATGATTATCTTGCGCGTTTTGAGAAGATTGCAGAAATACAGAATTGGGAGGTAGAACGTTATCACATTTACCTTGGAGCACAATTGACAGGAAAAGCCTTAAAAACTTATATTAATTTGCCTAATAATGTTCTTTCTAACTACGAATTGGTTAAGGATGCCTTGCTTAAAACTTATTGCTTAGATGCCGAGTCTTATCGTAAGAAATTCCGGGAAAGCAAAGTGAACGAGACAGAATCGTATGTTCAGCTAGTTACTAGAATGGAACAGTACCTAAGAAATTGGATAAGTCTTAGTGAAGTGAGGGAGGATTTCAACGACCTTTGTGACTTCCTTGTTAGAGACCAATTGCTGAGCAACTGCTCTTTAGATTTGCGGATATTTTTAAAAGAGCGATTATTTGACAACACTCTTGATATGGCACAAGCTGCCGACAGATTCAGAGCTGCACATCGCAATATTAAACCGCGGAAGACTTTCTCTGCGAGAGAAGAAACGAGCGAAAGGCGCGACGCAAAGTCCGACGTGGTATGTCACAATTGCAAAGCTACGGGGCACATTCGACCTAATTGTCCTGAATTAAAAAGATCGCGGTTGGGGTCATCTAAGGTTAACTTCGTTTTTGAATCGGATCTTACTCCGCAGAACAGTGTTACCGACGATGCGATTTTATTTAACAAACCTGTTAATGCTCTCTTTGATTCTGGATGTTCAACTATTATAGTAAAAGATTCGCTGATTCCCCCGTATGTAAAACGACGAAAGACCATTACACTATACGATTACCTAGGTGTCGGCAAGACTTTTCCCGAAATACGGTGCTTCATAAAGAGTCGCTTTTTGACTGGATGGGTGAATGCCGTTGCGGCACCCATCAAATTCACTGACATACTAATCGGAATGGTACCCGGGGTCAAGATGCCAGCATTAGATTTAACGGGCAAGACTAATAATGGCAAAACTTCAGCGATTGATAAACATGAAATTGCAAGTGCCGATAACTTAGTCATGGAAATTCAGACTCGAAGAGGTAAAATGGCTGACCTTGCTAAACCTCGTGCCTTAAATGTACCAGAACTTATAATTAAAGATATCACAAAACAAGAGCTGATGGAAGAACAAGACAAATGCATAACTCTAAATGACATAAGATCAAAAGTAGAGAGAGGGAGTATAGTAAATGTCAAACATAGATCAGTAAAGTATGAAAAAGTTAACAATCTCCTCTATAGAATTTGTCTTCAAAGTAAAAATGAAAATGAGATTGGTATGAAGCAATTAGTTGTCCCTCGTAAGTTTAGACATATCATCTTGTCAACGGCACACGATTCCCCTGTTGCAGGACATTTTTCGCATCGTAAAACATCTGAGAAGATATTTTACAAGTTCTTTTGGCCAGGCGCGGGTGCCGATGTAAAGCGCTTTTGTCGTTCATGTCAAACGTGTCAAAGATCTTCCCCTAAAGGCAAAGTCAAGAAAGTACCGTTAGTGTCCATGCCCGTGATAAATGAACCGTTTTCTCGCGTTGCCATAGATCTCGTAGGCCCGTTATCACCTTCAGAAAGAGGCCATCGGTATATCTTAACTCTAATAGACTGCGCTACTCGTTTTCCTGAAGCTGTTCCTCTACGCAGTATCGATACGGTAACTGTCGCTGAAAACCTAATTGATATATTTTCGCGTGTCGGTATTCCTAAAGAAATCTTGTCAGACCGCGGCACACAGTTCAAGTCCGACCTTATGAACGAGATAAATAGACTTTTGTGTGTAAAGGCTCTCTATACGAGCCCGTATCACGCTTGTTGCAATGGCACAGTAGAGCGGTTTCATGCAGTTTTGAAATCCATGTTAAGGAAACTATGTATGGAACAACCAAAAGACTGGGACCGATACATTCCCTCGGTGCTATTTGCCTACCGTGAGATTCCTAATGACACTTTAAAGTTTTCTCCTTTTGAATTGTTGTATGGCCGTAGGGTTCGAGGACCACTTACAATTTTGTATGAACTGTGGACCAACGATAATCTGGACAGTAATGTAAAGAACACCTATCAGTATGTGTTAGATCTTCGAACTAAATTAGAGGAATCTGCTCAGTTAGCCTCATCTCATGCTAAGATCAATAGTAATCTGTATAAAGCCTACTTCGATCGCGGCGCTAAAGCGCGCTCGCTCGCCGTTGGCGACGAAGTGCTCGTTTTGCTTCCTTCAACGCATAACAAGCTTACTATGCAGTGGAAAGGCCCATACACCGTTATTAAACGTCACGATAACGGAGTAGATTACTTAATTAAAGTAAAGGGTAAAGCCAAACTTTACCATATTAACATGATGAAAAAGTTCATTAAAAGGGAGGACATTGAAACGCCTAATGTTTGCCAGATATGTGTAGTAGATGATATTGCTAGTGATGACACGTGTGATGTCTCTGTAATGAGCAATACGGTAACTAACTTTAATATCGGTGCAGATCTAAAACCTGATCAAATAAAAGAGCTAAGGAACCTACTTGATAAATACCCAGATGTATTTTCAGATAACCCTGGACTAACTAGCTCGGTAACGCACGATATCAAATTAACTACCACCGAACCCGTACACCGCAAGCCTTACGCGATTCCTCACCATTTGATTAAACCATTTGAGGCAGAAGTACAGAGAATGAAAGAACTTGGAGTGATCGAACCATCCGATTCGCCGTACTGTTCGCCCGTAGTTCTCGTGAAAAAGTCGAATAACACCTGGAGGTTCTGTGTTGATTTCAGAGCTCTGAATAATATTAGTCAATTCGATGCTGAACCGATGCCTTTTATGGACGAAGCGCTGGGAAACTTCACATCAGATAAGTTCTTCACAGAACTCGATTTATGTAAAGGTTATTGGCAAATTCCCTTAAGTGAACGATCTAAGCCATATACTGCTTTTGCAACCAAGTACGGTTTAATGCAGTTTGCGAGGTTGCCGTTCGGATTGAAAACCGCATGCGCGACATTCGTGCGATTAATGAGGAAAGTAATAAAGGGTCTAAATAACACGGATTGTTACTTTGATAACATTGTTGTTCACAATGCTAAGTGGGAAGATCACTTAATCGACCTTACTAACTTGCTGAACAGGCTCCGTTTACATGGATTAACTGCAGGTCCTGATAAATGCTTCTTTGGCTACACAAAAATTAAGTATCTAGGTTTCACATTGGGTGATAACTGTTTAAGACCTGTTGATGCTAAAATTAAAGCTATAATAGATATGCCTCTCCCTAAAACAAAAAAGCAACTAAGGTCTTTCTTGGGAACAGTCTCGTTCTACCGTAAATTTATCCCTAATTTTGCGGATATAGTATCTCCTATTAATGTCTTGCTGAGAAAATATAGTAGTAATGTGTTAATATTAAATGATGAACAGATTGCAAGGATCAATTTATTGAAGGATAAATTAATTAACGCCCCAATTCTCACATTGCCCGATTATAACAAGCAATTCTTTCTGAGAACTGATGCTTCTGACACGGGCTTGGGTGCAATCCTTCTGCAGGAAATGAATGGAGAATTAATGCCTGTCGCCTATGCCAGCCGCGCACTATTAGACCGCGAGACGTGTTACGCAGTTATAGAACGCGAATGCCTCGCTATAGTTTGGGGAATAGAAAAGTTTAAATCTTACTTGTACGGTAAAGAATTCATTCTACAAACGGATCAACAGCCATTAACATATCTACTGAATATGAAGAATAGTAATGGCAGACTTATGCGCTGGTCTCTCGCCTTGCAGGCATATTCTTTTATAATTCAGTATATCAAAGGTGTTGATAATGTAGGAGCTGATCTCCTTAGTCGATGTCCGGTAATTATCGATTAGTGTAAAACCCCACTTCATTAAAATCTTACGATTTTAAGTTAAATTGGGGGGCTATGTAAAGGGTTGTTAACTCATGGTGATGGTTTTTTCCCTAATCGATATTCCAAACTATCGATCGGTTATTTGGTTGTTTGTTTGTTGCGTATGTCTGTGTATGGGAGGCGTTTAGTTCCCGCCACCGAGGCAATGACGGTGACCCCTCAGCATGGTCAGTCACTTAGCTCCGATCTTCTCGACTGATCACATCCTCTTTATATTTATGGACAAGCCAAGCAGATCGTACCCTAGCAGTGCTCTACCACCTTGTCCTAACGACTCTCGGAGCCCTACATCTTGGCCCTGTGATTCTCGGTGCCTACGACTTTCGGTGCCCTACATCTTGGCCCTGTGATTCTCGATGCCCAACAACTATCGAGTGCAACGAACTCGCCTGATTGTAACCTGGCAGTTGTAATATTGATTTGGGAACAATTGTAAATAATTATGAATATATTGTATTTGTGTAAATCAAGTTTTACTTTATTCCTCGAGTGGCTAATCCAGAGATCATTCTAAAGAACCAAAAAGGGGATTCTAAGACCATAAAAACAAACCCCTGACATATATATATATATATATATATATATATATATGTTTATATATATATATATATATATATATATATATACATATATATATACATATATGTATTTGTATATATATATACATACACATATATATATATATATAGATAGATAGATATATATATATAGATAGATAGATAGATAGATAGATAGATAGATAAATAGATAGATAGATAAATAGATAGATAG